GGTGGCTATTTTATAATCATCCTAATTATACAGTGGCCATAGGCATAAACCACCCTCTAAACATAGAAACCCAACAAAACCCAGCTTGGGCTCTGCTAAGTTAGTGCTTGTGCTCCTTAGTTGGTGGCACCAACTCTCACCCAGGGACAGCATCCCTCCGTCCCCACCGGGGTGTCCCTCTGTGACCCCCCCCCACCTTTCAGGCAGCAGCAGAGGGCTGCTGTGGGGACATGTTTAGTCCTTACTACAAAGCGCCTGGCTCTCCACGCTGCTTCGCTGCCACGCAGCGCACCCGCATCCTCCCACAGGGCTCAGACCCTCGCCTGCCTCCACTGTGGGCTGACAGTGAAAAATAAAGAAACTAGGATGAAAAAAAAAAAAAAGGTGGTGTAGTATTTAGAAAGAGCCCCGGCATTGCTTGTATCATTGCCTACAGCCAGAGGCTTGCTAGGCAGCTGTCTCTGCAAAGGCTTGCAAGCGCCTGCATTCACAGCTTGTAAGAAAACAGGGCAGGGCTCACCTTGAACGTTACAGCACATCCCCCATGGAAACAGCATCAGACTCTTATTTATCACTAGGATTTAAGTCCTCACTACTAAAAAAAAACGCCCCCCCCCCCCCCGAGCAATTTCTCTGAGCCCATCTCTTGCAAAGTTTTCATCTGAAAAACAAGAATGGTGGAGGCATACAAGTGGTTCCTAAAAAGTCTCTGCAAACACTCCATATTCTTTTCTCCTGAAGTGGGGGGGGGGGGCAGGTACAGTCCTGACTAGGTATAGCCTGTCAAAATAAATCCAGACTTTCCAGTCTGGAGCAATTCCTTTAGGAGCTCTTTTCAAAGTCACTGTGCAGGTAACTGCATCCTCCCCTTCTGCAAATACATCTTCTCTACACCCTTTACAAGTAAGGCTATTAATTGCTGAAACAGTCAGAATGTGGTATGATATAATTAGTTTTTTGAAGTGTCTGATAGGATTTATTCCCACCACAAATGTGTTAGGCTTACAGCTTCCTTTCCACTTACTGCCAGCTTCTTCCCACATCCCACACTGTTCCCACATTTCACGGTCATTTTTTCCTTGTACTCAATTATGGTGCTGACATGCTAGGATTCCTGTAAAATGACAGTGTGCTGTATCACAGAAGACTTTCCCAGCTCCACTGTAAAGGAGGAAGCTATTTTCCAGCAATAAAGCCTGTCCCTGTGGAAGACCAGGCTCTGCCTGCCTTGATACACTTCTGACACTGCTGACCACGCGGCTAGCATGAGAATTCATTCCTGAGGCCGGCTAGCTCTGATTTTCTAAAGCAACTCTGAAAATCTTTTTTCTGGCATAATTACCTTGTAGATTGCCAAATCCAGCCTTCCTCAGGAGTCAGTCAAGTCCTCGCCCCCTTAGTCAAATATTTATTTTCTTAAGCTTGCAACAGCAGATATACTGTTTCCTGGTGCAAGTTCCTATATTCTGCATGTGCTCTATTATTTTTCCCCACTGTCTTTGGCTAGCTTACAACATATAAATATCCATATCCTTTAGCGGTTTGACTTTATCCTCCCTTGTTTTCCTCACAGCAGCAGACGGGGGGCACAGATGACAGCACTCTCAGACCAACAGAGCGCAGAGCCCACGGATGCTTCCCCAGCTACCGGAGCCAGAACCCAGCAGAAAATTCTGCTCTGCCACTTTGCCACGCACGTTTCAACAGCTCGCACAAACTTTAACAGCATTACAGGCAGTGGTTTATGCTAGTGCCTGACATAGGACTTATTCCCATTACCAGGGCATCATCTCTTCTACTACCCCAATCCAAGCAAGCACCCAGACCAGGACTGCTGATGCCACAGCTCTGCTACCCACGAGCAATTCCCACAGATGCACAATATGCAGCAGCACATTTGGCCACAAACCACACCTACATTAAGCAATGTCAGTGCAAACTATTACCAGCACCTGTGTTTAATGAAGAAATCTGCTTGTATCTGGAAACAAAGCTGCCAAAGCCCTTTCCCTTTCTGAAGTGGTTTCTCACATTCCAGGCAGGTTTTAAGGTTTTAACATAGTTACAGCTTTCTGTTTACTGATGGGGAAGCTAGGATGGCATAGAAGAAACAAAAAAGTATTTTACCATTCAATGTTTGCCTTTACCCTATTTATTCCTCCCATTGACGTTAACTCCCACCTCTGGGATCATTTTTTCCCCTACAGGTCTCATGCATCAGTACTTGCTGACACACCAAGCCAGAACATACCTCTTCCTTGCCATATCCTGACTCACTTTGCTTTCCCTCCGTTCACAAGCATTACACCAACATTAGTCACTTCTGCCACAGCACGTGCATAAAAAAATAAATCTCACTGACATTGTCCCAGACACAGTGTTTCCCCTTCAGTATTGTAATTCTCCCAATTCCTGCTTCTCAAAAAATGTATTATTCTTTTTGTTCACCTGAGCCTCTATGTATTACTTCAAGTCATTCTGCTCCAGCTTCAAGACAGTCCTGACCTAACTTGAAGATGGGAACTCACACCCCCTGCTTGGGCAGCCAGTGTTACACAGATTTTTTTTTTTTTTTTTGCTGTCATCACTTAGAATGAAATTCTTCAGGAAATTCAGTCACAACTGCTATTTGTAAAAGTTAAAACTTCTCATCATTCAGCTGATCAGTATTCATTACTGAGAAGTATTCATCCTAGGCTAGCTTGCAGATCTCAATGACTGCAACCATGTTTTGCACCTGCAGTTCATGTTTCTGCTTAAAAGGAAAGTAATATTCAAGTAATAAAACAGTACTTCTCTGCTAAAAGACAACTTACCTATCCATTGATTACTCAGAAAACACCAACTTACACACATAGAATGTTCAAAAGGGGCTAAAGATTAGCCTGTAGAACTTAAAAATATGGGTGGGAAGGGGCAGGCACCACAGAGCCACAAAGTGTTGCAGTTCACACTGTGGTTAAGGCAGCAGCATTGCAAGGTTCCTGCAGAAGGATCATGGAGGGTCGATTTAGATGAGATGTTAGAAAGAAATTCTTTACTGTTAGAGTGGTGAGGCACTGGAACAGGTTGCCCAGAGAGGTTGTGGATGCCCCCTCCCTGGAAGTGTTCAAGGCCAGGTTGGATGGGGCTGTGGGCAACCTGGTCTAGTGGAGGGTGTCCCTGCCCATGGCAGGGGGGTTGGAACTAGATGATCTTTGAGGTCCCTTCCAACCCTAACCATTCTATGATTCTATAAGGTATAGACTAGCTCCCAGGAAGCCTCCATCCAGCTTCTGTAGAAGATGGCAGCAGGGGAAGTTATAAACTTAGTCTTCTGGATATTCAGTTGACCTGGATGCCAGTTTCAGAGCTTTCTCTACAGCCATCACCCAAACCCATAAGATCAGGTGCTGAGCCTACACCTTAGTTATCACCCTGGTTACAACCCATTGCATTTTCTTGAACATTGCCAAGTGCTGCTAGTGGTGTACTACAGCCAAACATTGGTGACCTGAACATGTGCACCAACACAGAGCAAAAAAAACCCAGGGCAGCTGAAGTCAGCAGTAAACTCACTACAGTTGACAGCAATTCAGCCCAGCTCTCTCAGGTGCCAGGTTCAGTCTCACATCCAGGACTGCACAGCTGACAAAAATTCTGCCTCAGTTCTGCAAGAGCTCACAGACTTGGTAGGTCTCAAATTCCCATATGAGATTAGATTTTCTCTCCAGACTCTCTCATACATCCAAGGAAGAAAATTAGATCAACTCTGTTCTGGAGTCATTCCAGTCTAAGACACATAACAGCATGATTATTATTTGATTTTTTTTTTAAATCCAGACTTTTTTTTAAGGCCCCATTAACATAGAATAGTGCAATGCATTACAGAGGAGAGCTGTATGGTTTATATAACCCCTCAAACAAGTGACAATGTGTAATACAAAGGTGGGTAATGTATTCATGCATTAGTCCAGTGCTACAGCCCAAGCCCAACCCTCAACAATTCTGTTATTCCTCATAAATACCAATCTCCTTACAAGAAAAAGGTGGGAACAAGCAAGGACTACTAAGAGACCATTGTAGTACCTAGAGGACATAAGAACAGAAGCTCCTAGGAACACAGCTGAGATACTACAGTAGGGGAACACCAGATACAGGTATAGCACATCAACTTACTGGTAAGGATCAAATCCATAGGCAGCCCCCATCAGAAGACATTTTAGAGAAAAATAAACACTTAGGCCATTTAGAGTAGAAGTACAGGACAATTTGGTAATTCTTTTGGCTAGGGGTTCCACACCAATCTCTGCTCCCTCCCATATTCATTTTTAAACTGAAACAGGATAGGCACAGCTCTAGCTGCTGCAAGCAGCAACTGCAGAGCTGTACAGTAACTTCTCACGCAACTTACTTTTTCCGCTTTGAAACCCAAGATTTGGCATGCATGCCATAAGCCCTTGAGATTGTACTTCGCTAGCTTTGGAGAAACAAAGCACAAAGCCAGCCACTGAGAAAAAATCCTGAGCATAAACTACGGCAATCTGCCTTGACAAGGGACCAAGGTCATGTCAGATGCCAGGGGACAGAGTTATGTCAGCAGAAAGGCTGATACAAGAAAGCCCAGCTGGCTCCAGGGTAGAGCCCAGCCTGTTTGCATCAAAGTACCACCACCTGCGTATCACCAGTGTAACAGTCATCCTTTGCTGCCCTGCATGAAGAGGACAATAAAAATGTTACAGCAGTAACATTTTAGGAATATAATTAAGAACTGCTTTTGTTCACACACACCAAGGAAAGGAGGAATGATGATACCTTCCCAAACATGTTCTGACAGTCATCTTTTCCATTCCTTGAATTCCCTTCAAATACAGCATTGGCATAGGAGTTATTTCCTGCTTTATACTAAAGCCCTAGTGATTTAACACTTAACATGTTATGCAAGTTCAACTCCATGCTATGCATCAAACAGTATGATCAATAAACATAGTAAAATTTCTTCTCCCCCACAAACCTACAATACATCTTATTCTTTATTAAGTATCAAATTGTCTCCAACATAAATTACATCCAAATTACATAAGTTTCAAGAAAGTCAGATATTTTATGTACAGTATTTGTCTTGAGTCAGATATACCTTTATCATTTTAACCTATAACATAAAAAGCAAACCTACATCAGTACCAAATAAAGCATTAAAAAGGTAACAAATATATAACTTTTTAGAAATGCTTTCAGAACGCTAAAGTTAATGACAAAGATTTTTTTATAGTGCAGCAGTCTTGGGGTTTTAGCTCTTAGACCATTTCTCTGTTTTTGCGGATAGCACAGCAGAGAACCATACTGAATATCATGCCGAAAATCTGCAAAGAAAGCAAACACATTAGAATCAGGGGACCAAAGCACATTCTTCTATCAACATAGGAACAAGCATAGTTGCTGTTCCTGGCCCAGATGCCACGTTAGCAGTATGTGCAGTTTGTACACCTGCCCTCCACCCTCAAGTTTCAGTCCATTCTCACAAATCCCTTCACCCTCAATACTTCAAAAACAGATCAGCTATAAACCACTGCTGTATCTCCTAAGAAATCTTTGATCATCCCAGCATATTTGCATCCATGTCTGCTTTCTTCCAGAGAAGTCAAACAAGCATGAATTTTACTAGCACTGCTATTTCAGTTCTCTAGCAGAATCTTTAATTGTTATAAAGGAAACAAAACCAAGGATCCCCAAGAGATAACTAGGATTAAGAAGCATTAACATGACCAATACATCTTCACCCTATATATACATATACACACACACACACTACCCATACAACCTTGCCTCTGCTAGAACTACAAGGAGGCAGATCCTAACGCAGAGCGGCAGCAGGGAGGTCCAAGACACAGCACCCTCTGCACTGCCTCGGGGCCCCACAGCACACACCCTGATCCTGCTGGTGCCTGTCCTTAGTGGAGTGGGCTTGTAGAACTGTCATGCCAGGCACTGTTCAACAGACTTCTGCCCTAAGTACCCTTTGGCCATACAGCTACCCTCTAAATAATCTGGAAACTCACCATTATTACAGCAATGCCAAGGCCAACTGCTCCAATCACATTCAGTTTTGAATTGAAGACATCATCGATGGCGGCAGGGCATGACTGAAAAGTAACAGACTCTTCATTAGTGTTTCACACATAAGAAAGGTTTGTTTCTGCTCACTTGAGCTCATTCTGCTGACTGATGCTACACCTGTGACCAAATCTGCTTGCATTAGAGATGAAGACTCGTCTTTCAAAAGCTGCTTTGAACTGGCCTTTATTTTCACATCTTAATAAGAGAGGCAGGGATGTTCCAACATAAAAGTTGGAGAAGTTTAAATCTGTTCTCAAGTACCTAAACCTCTTAACTGCATCTTGTCTACAGCACAATTCCCTTCTCAGCCACCTGCAGTTGATCAGGTAGGTCAGGACCAACAGCAGTTGTACCAGACTTGGCTTGTTATTAATGCCTGTCAGCATTTAAGCTGCTGTATTGCTCAGTCCTTCTCAAAATAGATTTGAAGCCACTCTTGGTATTTCCAATTGCTACTGTAATTTTGCAGACACCTCATGAACACATGGGAATGGCAGGATTTCTTGAGTGCATGCATACATGCTAGGCTATGTATAGATTCATAGCAGTGCCAGTTTGAAGCTCCCAGGACAATCAATTACCATTGCAACTAAAGAAAAAAATTAAGTACAGTCCTTTCCCCAGCAAAAGCACATCGTAGCCAAGAAAAACAATGAGGAACTTTTACAGACTTATAAATCTTTAAGAGCCTGGTAGCTGAAAGACTGAATGGAAGATTAAAGGGATATACTGGCAAGAATTAATCAGCTAAATCAGAATATCAATACAGTACTACTTCTTACAGATGCACACAGATCAGCCACACCATTACAACCCTTTAATTTTGCAGTCTACTGTGGTTTTTTTCTATGATTGGGACTAGACCATAAACATATCACAAGATTAACTCAGATAAAGCTAAAACACACTTAAAAGCAAACAATAAAACCTGTACGCTGCCTCAGCTACTCCCATACAGCCTAACTCATAGCAGATTGTATGGACAGGACTAAAGATACAGATTGAAGTGTCTCATGTGGTCAGATATTTGAAAGTACAGAGTCATCTGTAGTGAAAGGAAGAGCACAAGAAATGCAAAAAAAAAAATCAAGTGTTTAATTGAATTCCTGCATCATGAGAATCTTGTTTTCTACAGTGAAGCCCATAAAGGCTATTGGAGCATGAAGCAAGAGCACAAGACAGTTTTAACAAGAAAATGGGTAATTAAGAACTATAACAAGATTCCTCTCCTATCTGTGGCACACAGGCACCTTTGCAGCAATATTTCAACAGGAAAATCTGATTCAGAGAACTGGCTTCAGTGACATGCTCACCTAAACAGGCCACAAATGCATTACCCCCTCTCCTTTCCCTTGCTAAAGCTTCAGATCTGCTCCCACCCTCCCATGTTCTACTTCTCCCCAACCAAAAGGGGAGGCAACAGCCCCCATGTAGCACCAGGAAGGTGCTTTGGTGGTAGGAGCAGCCAGGAGAACAGAGGTCTCCAGCTAATTTTTTTTTTAGGTGAAGTTTTGGCCTTATGCTGTCCATGACGCCCATGAGTTTAGCAACATGCAGCCTGTACGTTTCCCTGTGCAAGTTCACATTTCCTGCTGACCCTACTTGTTCTTTCCATAGTAACACTATGTTGATTTTCCACAACCAGACTGATCATAGAGATAGGTTGCTATGTAAGCGCAACATGGGAATTTCCCATAGACTGGAAGGGTTTATTCAGAAACTTGTTTCTCATTCTACTCATAGGGCAGAGCTTTTAGTGAATTAAGTCATGCATTACCACTGTAGAAATCGACTCAAGTATGCTCTTCTTCGGACAGGTGTCCATGAACTGCTGCTCAAGAGCTCCTGTAAGACCACAGCAGTCTAGCTACAAGAGAAAACAGGAAAAGAGAACCAGGTTAAATAATCCTTATTTTTTCTCTGTATTTAGTAAAAAGGAAAAAAAATAGGTTACATTAGGTTTTATTACAGACTTCATGCAAATTTGATTGGAAGTTCTGCCAATGTGACTGCTGTAGACCTAATTCTAAAAAGCCTTATCACATTAAAGGACAAGATTCTGAAAGAAAAAAGCTAGGTCTCATTAAGCATACACATATTAGGTTTGGTGACATCTTGTACTGCTTACAGACATGCAGGTATGCATACTGTGGTGCCTCCAGATCAGTGCCACGTATCTAGAGTTTCCCAGCTTGCTTCTGAGTTTTAGGAAAACAAGAAGAAGGTCTATGCATTTCAGAGGTTCAAAGGGACAAAAAAATCATACCGCATTCACTAATACTACACAAAACTATCTTCTCTGCAACTTGTTACTAATACTCCCTTGCTGTCTTCTAGTTAGAAAGGTACTAGATTTGTACACGGGACTGGATGAGATTGAGAACAGCATGAACAAGCTACATTACTGTCTAGTTTAAGGATAACCATGTACTTACAGCTAACTGAAATGCTTTCAGGGTCTCTCTGGCAGGTGCTTGAGATCTCTTTCCATAGGTTTCCATGTAGAAGTCCTTTAACTCTTCAATAACCTACAAGATATCAAAGAATTGTGGTGTATTACTGTCTAACCTTAATATTAATTAAGGAAAACTCATTTCAAGTAAGACAGTCATTAAAAATTCTGCAATCTACAATACCCATCCTTTTGACATGTACAAACAGAGGGTGGACAGCATTTCTCACCCAGAACAGGTGAGCCTAACTGGTACACTCACCTTAAAAGCCACACCTAAACAGATAAGATTCAGAATTTCCCTTCCAAAGCTCTGATCTTCTAGGTGGAATGAGAGAACCACGTCTTTGCCCATTGGTTACACAAAAGTATTCCCTATTCTCTTCTATACCCCAGAAGTTGCTGTATTCCCCTGTTATGTAATACAGGCAGAAAAGCAACCCTGATCACCAGGCAACTTTATTTTGAAACAAGACAGAATCCAGACTGCTTGTAAGGGGACAGCCCAGATCAGTCATGTTTTAGATGCAGCAGGAACATTCAGCCTGTAGCTGACCTAGCTCCTATCTAGAAGTGGTAAAGCTTCACTGATGGCCAGTTTTGCTTCACAGCTCAGCCAGGTACTACTACATCTCTAGCATGAAGCAGCATCTTGGATTCTGGCTTTTCTGCTACAGTCTTTCTAAATTTTAGAGTTTTACTTCTTGTATTGTTTTGCTAGAAAGCATGTTCTTCCTCTCCCTCAAATTCCCTAGGTAATCAGGATTTGACTAGTACTGGTATAGTTTTCAGCAGACTGCTAACTTTCCATAGGCACAGTCATAGAATTGCAGAATGGTTTGGGTTGAAAGGGACCTTCAAAGCTCATGTAGTCCAACCCTCCCACCACCATAGGCAGGGACAACTTTCCCTATATCAGGTTGCTCTAAGCCCCATCCAGCCTGACCTTGAACACTTCCAATAAGGGGGCATCCACAACTTTTCTGGGCAACCTGTTCAGCATCCCACCACCCTACTAACTTTTAAGAGCAACCTACCTTTTCTTTATTGGCAAATCCCCAGATTGCAGCAGCAATTTCAAGGGCAAAAATCACAAAAAGGAAGACAAAGAACTAGAAAAGAAAGACCACATCATTAAGACCACAGCACCACAAAACAGCATCATGTATATATACTGCAAGCTTGTCCAGTCGCCAGCATTCAGCCTTGTGGGAACCATCCCTCAAACAGTTTCCAGGTGGAGGTCTGAAATGCTGCTAAGACTAAGAAAGAGGATACACTGCACTGGGTCAGCACTTCCTTCCCAGGAGCATCAGAAAGCCTGGCAGTGTTTTCCAAGCAGAAATCCTCCTTTTTGATCAGTGTTAATTAAAACCAATCATCTCTTCACTCAGACTTTGAAGTTGGCCAGGTCACTCAGACACATCACAACAGTTGACGCTAATTCTTTTCTCTGGTTTGTCACCCTTATTGCTTTAGGAATCATTACCTAATACCTAGCTTGTCATCAACTCCCAGAGAACCAATGGTCACTTTGTTGCATATCCCATAAAATACAAACAGTGTCATCTCTGTTTAATTGACTACCAGGTCCAAAACATCACTAGCATTTGAAAGGCACTTCAAAGAGATGTTCAGAATTACAACAAAGCCCTAGAGGCATCATTTTGCAAGAAATACACAAAATTAACTTCTTCTGTGACACAGAAGGGGAATTGTTCTTTCACCAGCTATAGTAGTAGTGTTTTATTAACTAAGTCTTCTGGTTATTTGGATGAGTAGTTCCACAAAAGTACAGATGCGCATGAACCCAGTAAGCTCCACTGGCCCCTCCAGCCTGAAAACAATGAAGTTGCTCTCCAATAATTGGCTTGCAGAGCAGTTGTCAACTAGAGGAGCTCATCCTGTGATTATGAACAGTAGAGGCTTGTTGTTTCAAGGATCAAATACCACAGTTCTGGTCTCAAAGATTAAAGATTGCACAGCCTTCAGAGTTCAGGACAAACCGTTCAATAAACAATATAACTCTTATCAATATTTTAGTTCTGTGTTCACACGTACTCTCACCCTTGATACTTCAATGTCTGAATCTCTCACTAACTCCTGAAGCCATTCTGTATTCAAATACAAAATGGACATTTGGATTTAGGACCAGATATGGAAACTTATTTAACATTTTAGAATTATGTAGGTGACCATGAGTTTAAACGTTGTGGAGCCAGAACAATCAGCATCTGCTGCCCTTTAACTGCACAGTAATATTTTTCCTTCTTTTCTCATCGAGCTGCTAAAAGTTTAAACACTACTCTGAACACTTACCAGGCCAAGCATACATTGAGATTCCTGCAACGCACCACAGCATCCCAAGAAACCAACCAGCATCATAAGTGCACCAGCTCCAATAAGGATGTAAACCCCTAGGGAGGAGAAAAACAGAGACATGTATACAGGTCAGTTGAGACCTCAGCAGCAAGGCATAAAATTAGTTGCTCCACAAATAGCATTCATAGCTTTTGCCAAGGTTTAAGTTTTACTGAGGTATTCCAACCAAAAAAAATAAGGGCTGTGCTTGATTTTCAAAGCAAACATCTCAACCTGTGGGGAAACATATTGATAAATAAAAACTTCAACTTGTAACAATCAATGTGTACCACTACTGCAGTTTCACAAGCTTTAGAAAATGGGCAAGATAAGCCACTTACGACAAACTGTAAGACACATTTTAAAACTGGCTCAGAGAGAGTTATCAACTTATCTTTGGATGAAGAGTGTGTTGCAGTTAGACACAGCTGGAACTAGTGGTTTATCAACATCTGAGAATTCTTGAAGCATGCTACCTCTAGGAAAATGGGTATTTGTGTTGGTTTTGCATGGCAAGGTT